CTTCTGTGTCTGTGTTAATTGGTTTCCCTTTTCTTTGTTGAAGAGGGTCTGTGCAATCCTTCTGCCTAGTCCGCCATCTTGCCCCGCCTCACATCATATAGGTTTAAGCTCAATGTATACTTACTACTTCCACTAAAAAAATATTTGAAGTCTTAGTATATTAGAAGAACAATTGAGACAAATGTTAGCTTGATTTTGGCTCTGAGGAGAATCATGTTACTTCATTGTTGTGGGTATCAGAAACTGGAACCAGAAACCTCTAGACATTGCTATTTGTACCTGCTCAGAGCCAAGGGTTCTGCAGAAGCTATCCCAGGGTGTGAGAACTGCCACACCTTGCCAGGCTTCTCCTCTGAACATCCAGAGGGGAAACTGATACTTTGAAGAATGAAAAGAATCCTGTCTGCAAACCACCTGCCAGACATGCCAAACCTCTCTAGGCTCTGTCTTTTTGTACCCTGTGCTTCAGTTCAGGCAGGTATTCTGAACTGGCCTTATGTTGTCCTGCTTCTGGGCTTTTTCTCTAGTGGTTCATTCAACTAGTGAGTCCTACTCGCCTCTTCTCCACTAACCAAAACCTACTCTGTATTAAGGGGCTACCTCAGAATAACATCTCCCCACTACTAAAACCTTCCATGTTTCTCTGACTCTCTGCCCATCTCTCCTTTTTCAAATCCCTCTGAAAGTTTTGTGATTGCTGTTCTTGTCAGTAACCCTCACCGTGATCTGAGTATCTATCTGATCCTCTTGTGGATTTGTGAATTCTTTGAAAGGGAAGCAAGGGAATGCTCAATAATCTTTGATCCATGTTCTGTTCATATGTCACTTGTTAGCTTCTGTTTTGGAGTGTTTGATGTGGAATTAAATTCATTTGTTGGGTTATTTTTGTGCTATAACAAAAACTTGTTCAATTCTCATTATAATGCCTTCTTCTATAAGGTTACATGATTTTTTATTTTATTCAATTGTGGCCCACCTATGTGGATAATAGCACTGTAAAAGTTAATGCATTTAGAATTACTCATTGCCCTATAGCTAACTTTACCTTATTTTTTTATCCCCTTTTACAGGAAATGACTTAAAGGCCTTACAAATACTTCTGTTCATTCTTACTTCAGACTTTACAATCAGGGGCCAACCCAGTCTGGAAGCACCTCTTACGAA